AAAAATGATAAGGAAATAATCAAATAAGCCGTGCTGAATATTTGGAATAGTTTATTGGTGTAAGATGTAAGTTATTATTTGTAATTATTAGCTGTGATTACCTGCTGGTGCCTGGTTGTCTCAATTAATACATTTCTATCAATAATAATGGTATAGCCATTAGTCGAGATCCTTGTGGCTTGTGTATAGCCAAATACTATATACGACAATACGGGACAGCTATGGTAAAAACTGGCGTCCAGTTCTTATCAGTTCCCCCCGAGAATGTAGTTGTGGTTGCCGTAATTTACCCCTAAAAAATAAATGTTATATTATATAAAAAAAATGTTTATACCAACCAGTTATTACTGCATTATACTATTACTGCATTCGTTTCAATATATTTCCATCTTTTTTTTTTCATCTGTTGGATCTGGGAGTCGGTGACGAAACTGCTTTTGCATTGCTTCAACCTAATAATATTTCATCCAAAAATACAAGTTTTGTGTCTATAATTTATTCTTTATTGTAATTCTTTTTCAATAAAATTTTATAAAATAAATAAGAAAAGTATAAGAGTATAAMTACATTGTATTTACATATTTCAATATTTGTACTGATAATTACTAACAAAATAAATTTAACTTTAACATAATGTTAGGTAGGCATATTAAATATGAGTAATTTTTTTTAATTTTTTATTATTTAAATATTTATATGGTACGATTGTACGAATATATTATTATTGATATTCAAACTTCAAAAATGGTGGGAAGTATCATCATATTTTAAGGAGTAAAGTTAGGCAATTTAATGTCAATCTCGGGGGGAATTGATAAGACCGGTCGCCAGGTTTTAGAGTAGTAAGTGTCCCGTATTGTCGTATAATAGTATTTGGTATAGCCTATAGCCCATGCCCCATCCTATTCATCCTAAATCATTTACGCATAAGTGTAGTAACAGTATTGAGGTTTTATATGACGTTGATTGTTGATGAGTATTGACAAGACGTATTACATAAAAAAACACACAAGTAAGTAATGACAACTGGACTCATATTCCACATATTTTAAATTATTAAGCATTAAAAATCTAAGTTTTTTATAACTTATTGAATCCACGAATTTCGATCAAGTTTATACTAATATAGTTYACACTTTATTTATAATTAAAATATTAAGTGGGTACCTAMTATTAGAATAGTCATTTATAAATGTGAAAACAATTTAGCATATTTTCTTGAGTTTGAATACTATTCTATTTCTTTACTAAAAAAATGAGTATTATTTTAATGTAGGTACTAGTGATTTTTCATACAAATAATGATGTTATTTTTATTTTTATTATTTTATTTTTGTCTAGAAATAGGATTGCAATACATACCAATTTACAAATAGAGTAAAATGTCAGATAATAAAAATTCTATTCCATCACCGACTTTATGTAAACTATTGCCTACTTCTAACAAAATGTATACACCTTGTCGTAGAGTAGGACTCAAGAGAAAGTCTACTGGTACATTAGCTCCTAAGACTACATCGAAGAAAATAAAAGTTGTCGATGAAACATCAAAATCTATTGAATTTGCTGAAAATACAATAACACAAAATATTAARCCAAAAAACGATTCGATTTTAAAATTGGAGAATGAGATGCCATCAAATTTATTAGACAAACACCGTGTTATAAAAGTACTCAAATCTGAACTCAAAAATAGTGAACAGGTTAGTGACTGTTAATAGGATGATATATATATATATAGTTAATATAACAGGTTCAACGGTGAATATTATTTCTCTCTCTCATTGGCATCATAACTCTTCAAGAGTTTTGGCCGCCACCGATAACTCCCTCCATTCTTCCCGATTTTGCACCTTTTCTTTCCAATTTGATATCCCTAGTTTCTCTAAATCCTGCTTTATACCATCTATCCATTGCTTCTTTTGGTGTCCCCTTGGTCTCTTCCCCGTGGGTTTCCATACAGCTGCCGCTTTAAGGTAATCAGAGTGACCTTCTCATCACGTGCCCTAACCATTTTATTCTTTGTGCTTTTACAAAGTTGATTATCTTTGGTACTCCTGTCAAGTCTCTGATCTCTTTGTTTATTCTTCTGCGCCAGCACCCCAGGTCGTTGTCATATACTGGTGAATACTATAGTTACTAAATATTATTAAGCCATCCTATAATCTTTTCTAAAATAATATGAAGTTTTTATTATTAGTTATATGAAGCATTAAGATTGAAATTCCATTTTTGAATTAATATTGYCAATGTTCTAACCGCACCTTATATTTAAAATGCCCAGTTTTGTTACTAAGTTTATAAGTTATAACTGTAAAATTTAAATATAATTTTTTTCTTAAATAAATATAATTTATTAGTATTTTTGCATTTGTTTTACCTATTTATTTAAAAATTATATTAAATTTAAATTAAAAATTATTTATAATCAAATTTGTTGAGTAATTTTAGAATTCAATCCAAATTATAAATTAAATAACCTTGATGTCTGCCAGCTATATCGTCATTTAAAAGTTAAGAGGACGCCACACCCGCATGTGTTGTCTCCGTCTTATAAACGTATAACATAGCAAAATCTGTTTAGCTCGGAACAACTTTACTCCCTTTGTATTTATAGAAGAATTACCAAAATTCCACAAYGCATAGGTAAGAACTTTATTATATATAATAAACTTTATCTGTGTCATAGTGTCGTTATTTTTTTGATAACATAAATATAATTAAAGTTGTAAGCTTAAGAAAATACATTTATTTTTTCATTAAATTACTTAAAATTATTGGTTTGTGCTATCAAAAAAATAATGACGCTATGACACAGATAAAGTTCATACCTATGCGTTGTGAAATTTTGAAAATTCTATTATAAATATTGAGGGAGAAAAGTTGTCCCGCGCTAAACAGATTTTGCTATGTTATACGTTTGTAAGACGGAGACAACACATACAGGTGTGGCATCCTCTTAAGGCTAATACATTTTTATAGATCTCCATTAGACATTGATGTCAAGAATACTTATATGCTCTATTCAAATAAAGACAAAAAATTTTTTAATATGCCTACTGAGGTCAGTAATTTGAAAATAATCTAAATATACAGCTCTCTATGTGTACATCTTGTTATATCACAGCCCTCAAMTCTCATGTTCTTTTAATCGGTAATTGAGTGAAGAAAGAACATGACCTACTTTCTTTGTTGTTAGAATGGGTAAATCTAATTTTACTGAAATATAATGATCTTAATTATCTGTTTTCTTCTTATATTTAAAAACTTATTTATACATATCAAATAATATTAAATGTTTGGAAAATTTTACAATTTTTGACTATCCTAGATAGTTTTAAATGCAATAAGAAAAATTGTATTTAAAATCCAACGCATCCATGGCTCCATTTTTAWTTAAAATTTGATTCAGTGCAATCTAATCACAGCATCAGTCACTGATTTTACTGTTTATATTTTTGTTATGTAACATTATGATTTTAACTATATTAATTATTCCTTTTCAGCATAATTTAGATCAAATAAAAAGTCTATCAAAAAAATGGTTAAATGTTTGTCAAGAGGCTTTGAGATCACTATTCAATAAGTTAAATGAAAATGAAAATTCCAATGTGCATACCATAGAAGATTTGATTAAAAGTTTAGGGATATGTCCCGATTTAATTCAATTTGATTCAAATAATCAAGAGTTTTACCAAGAAGAATATAAATAGTAATTACTATGAAAAGTAAAACATACAATTTAAGTGTTATTTAGTTATTTAATTTTAGTTCATCAATCATCAATAATAAAACAATGTTCTGAATTATTAAAGAATATTCTAATTTCTTTTTCTTTTTTTTTTATTTGAAGCTCCATAACTTTTGAAATCAGTATAAGAAAATGGACGAACATTTCCATTTGATTTCTTTCCTTTATTTTTGCCGWAAGATCCTTGTGGCTCATTTTGTTTTCTATTCTTCTTCATTTGTTTGTTTATCTTTCCTTTTTCTAAATTTTTATCTAATGGGCGATGAATACCTTTGCCACCAGCTGAAAAATACATTTTCTATCAGTATAAGAAATATATTATAATATTAAATTTAACATACGAGTATATTTTAATCGTTTTTTTGATGGCATGTCATTATCACTGAAGTCGTCATCAACATCATCTTCTTCCATACCTACTAAATTAAAGATAAAAATATAAATATATATATATTCAAATTGTATTTGTTATACATATACAATTAACTATAAATTATATCTTATAATGACAAAATAATGAATGGTTGAATATATTCTAAGAAAAAAATATAAGTTTGATCAGTTAATCATGGCAATTCTAATGTTTATATGGCAAATAATATAATCTATAAAATAATAATCTTACCAGATTGTGTTGGTGCTTGAGGTTCATCTGTGATTATAAGGCGTCCATCAGGAGCAGTTTTTATACTATCATCAACAATAGATGCCTTATGAATATTTGCACTAGGTTCATTTTTAGGTTTTGACACTTAATACAGAGAAAAATCCATTAATAAAAAACAATAAATTAAAAAATTATTTTAACTTACACAAAATTTTTCTRTTTGTAGTTGCTTCAGTAAAATCTAATATATCATCTTCACTTTCGTGCAGATAATTGTCAGCAGATTTTTTCTTTCTACCTTTTTCTTGTTTAGCTTTCGGGTTTTGTTTTAAATTAGTTTCTAATTCGTCATCTTCTTCACATTCAGCCAAAATCTCCTCAAACCTAAAATAGTATTAAAAGAAGATTTTTGATTTGTGATTTTATCATACAAAAATTATTAATAAAAAAAATAATTTACATACGTTTTAGGTTTAGATTTAAGACTAAAATCAACCTCAACGTTATCATTTATTTTCTCTTTTGTTCTTTTTTCTTTATTTCTTTTTAATCGTTCAGATTCTTTATTAATGGCACGCAATCGAACATGTGTTTGAACATCAGTATTTGGTACCATTTGTATTATAAGGTGTGTACCAAACTTACGCACCAGTCTTTGGTATATACTTTTAGTTTCCTGACGAAATTTCCGTTTACAGTCATCTGTCATTTTGGAAAGAGAACTTAACTAAAAATAATAACATTTTAATTTAATGATATTATCAATGTTATAAAAATAAATAAATAAATAATAATATGGTTCCATATATTATTTTTCCCACATTTGCTAGGGCGGTCAGTCTTAGCTAGATATGTATTGTTACTAATTAAATAATTTAATTGTACGTATTAATCAATATAACTTTATCTATGAAAAAAGCATGATTAATTTACAAACATCTCTATAAAAAAAATTTTACCAGATAGATACAATCAATTAATAGAAGCTTATTTTTGTATATATTATACAAAAAATAGAGTAAATACATTAATATTTTATAATAATTTAGCTTACAATGGTTGAAAGGTAGGGCATTAGACCACTGGAGAATGAAGTAATCATCACTTTGATGAAGCTTAAAGCAGAACTAACCACTTCTCTAGTCCCAGTTGTAATAAGCAAACAAATATTACTTAAAATTGTTTCAAATTGAACTGAATTAATTTCATCTAAAATAAATAAACAATATACCTAGTTGAATACATATTTTATTTTATTTATAAGTTATTTATTTTGATACATACCTTTCCGGTTATGAAGAACTGAAGCTAATGCTAAAATAGTACAACTTATCATGGGGATTGAACCAGCTAATCCTGCTGATAAAGCATTTAAAAAGTTTTCTAAACCATTTTCAACTTTAACTGCTAATAAAGCCATTTTATTAATCAATGAAAAAGCACATTCACGGCATCGTTTATTAACAGTAGAACCTTTACAGCAAAGTACAGCTTCAGGGAGATGAGTTAGTATACTTTGAAATACACTGTCGTCATCCGTATGATCTAAGAGATGTGTTATACATCTTAATCGAGGCTAAACATTCCATTTTATAAAATATTGATCAATAAAATGAAATATATTCAAAATAAAAGCAATTACCCCACGACTGGTAGCGGCAACATTTTGAGCTGTTGACAATATAAAGTTTTGTATGTTCGCAAAATATTTTTTTACAAATTTATTGCATGTTGGAGATTTAGAACTGCATATTTCTTCCAAAATCCTTTTGAATTTATTTTATGATTTTAAATGTTTTTATGAAATTAATTAATATAGTATGTATAATACCTAAAATATTTTTTTTCTTCTTTGAAATTTTTCAATTGTTTGGCTTTAGAAATTCGAGAATCAAAAAATGACTTAAGTGTTTTAACAGTTTGATAAGGTGCTAATACTCCAACAATATCAAGAATGCTTTCTATCACTGAATGGTCCGCATCTTTAGAATTATCCAGCATACCAGAACATTTGTTAAATAACTGTTCTTTTATTTCATCGTCTGACAATGTCAAATACATCTTTAATCGAAAATTAAAAKAATTAAGTAATTTAGTTTTGCAATGAAAAAATAAATATTTAATTCACTTTAATTGTTTCCAAAGCAGAAAATCTAGTAGCTTGTTCGTCTGTACCATTAGCAGGGTTAGTATATAAATTCAAACAGATTGGTAAAAAGTTTTTTGCAAAATAAGATAACTGTTCTTTATCATCAGATACATCATTTTTAGAAACCGAAGCTATAAGTTTCCTTAWTGACACAAGAATTGTATCTCTTAACTCCTTGCGAGTACTTAACATAGTACCCATAGTTYTGGCAATAATCTAAAACAAAAGTAAATTAAGATTTAGATAATTCACAGAGGAGATAAATTGAACCTATAATCTAATTTATTGCCAATTTTTGTTTATCACAAAAATTGACAATTCATTTAATGATAAACCCCAGAGAAGAGAAAGATAACTCAATAAAACTTTTAAAGAGATCAATAAAATATAAATAATTTAAATTCAAGTTAATTTTATTGATCTCTTTAAAAGTTTTATTGAGTTATCTTTCACTTGAATTTAAATTATTTATATTAGGTACTTCCTTGGCGTTGGATCMATATTCATTTTACATGTCACCTACAAAGGTGTAGATACTATAGTCAGCGAAAATTATCAACTGTTAGATATAAATATTGATGAAGTTATTGAGGAACTTGCTAGCAAATTTTGGTTTTTACTCTTTATATAACAATAATAATTAATATGAAGTACTAAAAATGATTAATTATGTCAGTTTGAATTCAATACAGAATGTCTTAGTCAGTGGCGTATATAAAGAGGACTAGTGGACTACATTCCCTCAAAATTACAGTTGTAACTGTTAAATATATAGTAGCCACTAGGCGCTAAATCATTTGTTAGTTGCTATATATTATAGACCACCCTGAAAAATATTTCTTTATATGCCAMTGGTCTTAGTGATACTGTGATAATAATTGAGGGACATATAAATATAAAATAATATTTGGTTTATCATGTTATTTTACAAACTTTAATTTACATATTTTGTTTTGTAATCAAAARCAAGACACAAAGTAATTGAAGGATATATTACTTTTATTGTTTATGTTATTTATGATTATAATAAAGAAAYACATTAATAAGCATATTATATATTATGCAACATTTTTCTTGAGTTATGTATACACTATGAAAATTCAAAATGTTAGATGCTCCATGAATTTTTTTTAGCGATATGGGTTTAAAGCAGCACAAGTTTGAAGACCACTGCTAAATAGCATAATATAGTAGGAAAATATTGGAAATCCTGTAGAGGACATGGGCGGCAAAGCTCTACCCCATTTCTATGGTCGTTATTCAATGCTTTATCCCTGCCCACTAAAAATTCCTAAATATGYGGCTGGAATAAATGTGACACCTACCACATATTTAGTTATTACTTATTATACATAATAAGAAACAGATATTCTCATGCATTCTATCTTACCCGAAAYGATGTAGATATATCAGAAGGATTGGAACAAAAACTAGCCAATAGAGACCAAATTTGAGACTCCAGAAGATCATAACTAATGGCGGTTATTTTATCATTAGCTTTTAATGCATTTTCATACATTTCTCTAAAATAAATAGAAAAGAAGTTMAGAAATAATATTTTAAATAATTTAGATTAATATACTTACCGACATTTTAATGCCAAAGGTAAAAAATTGTCTATAAAGCATTTAAGTGTAGAGTTTGAAATACTATCTTTTAACACTGGTAATAACCAACTACGCTTAAATTCTCCAACATCATCCACCTAAAACAAAATCAAGATACAACTAAAACTAAAAACATAATTAAAATAATTATTTTGTTGATTTAGTTGACAAACAATCAATGGTTAAAATTTTTTTTATATAAATATAAATATCATATGACTTATCTAATAAGTGTCTAAGAGCAAAAAAAACATACCTTTAATGGAATAACTTTATCTGAGATAATAAATTCAGGCCCAATATACTTGATACTAGCTCCAATTGTCATTTCCAATTCATTAACAAATGTAATTTCATTGGAATCTCTGAGCTGTCCCAATGATTTTATACAATCTAAGAATATACTGGGAGCACATTTTCCATAAAACTGTAATACCACACTTAAATGTTTATACATACAATATAACAATAATAGTTAATTATACCTTGAAAAATGTAGACAGTGTATGTAGAACTTGGGGACAAGCATTTTTATACTGATATGATAAACACTGAGTTACTAAATTGAATAAAACAGAAATATTTTGATGATAARTTGAATCAGTGGCACGTCCAATACACTCTTCAATAAGAATGCGTAATGTAGATCCAGATGCTTTTAA